CCCTACTGTGGCTGGCGGGGAACCTGCTGCAGACCGCGTGAGGCCCTACTGCGACCCGCAAGGACCCTGTTGTGGCCCGCGAGACAAAACTGCAACTCAAGGGGCCCCCTGCTACGGCTCACCGGGGCCCTGCTGTAGGGGGGGGGGGGGGTTGCTGCGGCCTATGGGCCCTTCTGCGGCACACGAGGACCCTGCTGCGGCCCACGTATTGGGTTTCTCACAAAGTGACATCAAAGCTTCCCTGGCCGGGGGGTGCCCCCTCCCCACTTTTCGTGACGTTCCTACACCCCTGGTCGACGGTATCAAGATAATTCCCTGTGCCGAAAAGGATAACATATAGTGTCACTACTCTAAAACAATGTATTTCCCTCGCACGACCAGGCCATTTCTCATAACACGAACGACCAGGGGGGGGGGGTTGTTACGATCCCCCCTGGCGTTTCGAAACGGAAGGTCGTAGAGCTTAGCGGAAAAACCAACGGATTGCTCTCAACGAGATCTCGCGATTGGTGGTATATTTTTTGGTCCTAGGTCAACATTTGACCTACTTATGACCGGTCAAAGGTCAAATTTTCCGAAAAAAATCAAACTTTTTCAACTTTCCGCGGCGATTGCGGCAAAACGGCGGGAGATATCGACTTGAAACCTTCACTATCGTGTTCCTTGATCAATTCTCTATCGTTTGGTATGTATTTCGTTTCCCTAGCTCTAAAAATGGCGCGTTGGGAGCGCCGGAAGTCGGCAAGGTCACAGTCGGCGGCAGAATTTCGAAAAATCAAAATTTAAATTTTTGAAATCTGATTGTATTTTTGGATTTGGGAGGTCCATTTGCTCCCTATAGAAGCTAATATTGCTGCATATTCCCATTGAGGTGACAAGAATTAGCAAAATAGTGGTTCGGGCGCTTTTCAAAAGTAGTACCGGACGCTGTTCCTCTTGTGACGTCATAGCTCCGTGACCTGACCTGACCCGGTCAATTTTCTTGCACCACACGATAGCCAATGCTTGCCCCAACATGCATGGGAAGTTTCATCATGATCCATCAAACAATGTGGGTATCACCGGCAGAAAACCTAGGGATTCGGCGCACACGTTTGGTAACTGTCGGCCGGAGGCTGTACCTCTTATGACGTCATAACTCCGTGACCTGACATGACCCGATCAATTTTTTTTCGGCAAAAGATGCGCAAAGGTTGCCCCAGAGGGTATTGAAAATTTCAGCCCGCTACGACAAGCCGTTTAGCGTGCACTTCGAAAAAAAACCTCAGGGGGGGGGGTTGATACAACCCCCCCCCCTAGGCGTTCTAGGGTTAAAAAAAATGTCGACTTTAAAAACAAGAGTAATTTTCAACATTGGTTTAAAAATTAACAAAAGGATCATGTATTGAATGACAATGATTAAAATCATCTTCGAATAATATAACCTAGTTATATCATTTAATAAATATTTATTAAGCCAAATATAACGTAAGTATATATGACTGAGAAAACCAAATTATATGTTTACACATAAATATTATTCTTGCTATGGAAAGAGGGAAGCAGAACTGAGTTGATCCCTGTTGCCCACGTGAGTCAACTCGGCCGACTTGGCGCGGGTTCAGAGTGCTGCGAGTGCCTTTTAACCTATAATTTCTGTTGATTTCCTTGAATTGTATAATTTCGAAACCATGAGTGGTCGTTCGAGCAAAAGAGCTTACACATCTGGGTGTCAGAAACGAAAGCGGAAGATGCTACGAGAATTCAAAGACATTCGAAGAAACTCTCCTCATATTTTCGGCCCAGTGCACAGTGGGGATTTTTCCGATCTAGCACGTCTTTATTCGTAGAGGGCAAACCATAGGTAATATTGTAGCCAGATTGTGCACAGATGTTGGCTGGTGTGTTCTGGTGAGAATTTTACCTGTAAATGTGCATAGTCAACATAGTATAGTGGGTTCCCCGGCTCAGCCGTTTGGCCCCTGATCAAGCTAGAGCTTCGCGGAAAAATCAAGCGTGCTGCCTATGACGAAATGAGGCCGAATATATCCAATTTCAAAGTTCAAGGCCATTAGTTGACTTTCCAAGTCAGTTTAATGACCCAACTAAAGTTGGGAAATCGAGACCTCTTGAAACTTCGCATAGTTAGGGTGTTACGGGGTATTTTGGGGTGCTGATCACGAATTTCATGCTAATTTTGATCACAGACGATGTCTTTATGCATTTAGGCCAGGTCGGGTCAGGTCAGGTTAGATCAACCATTAGGCGTCCTGCAGGCCATTCATAGTAGGTGTCACCTACTACCTACTGATAGCTTCGTAACATGGTACGAAGGCACCAGAACTACTTCGTAAATATTTAAATGGTTGCTAAATTCGAAATCAGCACCAAGAAGTACCATAGAAACAAGTAAAACCCGAAAAGTGAACCAAGGCTATCAAAGGTCCTCTCCGTGGCCGAGTGGATAAAAGCGCCGGAATTCGACGCTAAGCCGGTGGTGAGAGCCCGGTTCAAGCCCCGGTGCGGGCGGCCACATTTAGCTCCTACGTGTAATGGCGTGCGTGTCTGTGGCAGGGGCCGCACAGAAGCCAGGTAGCGTGAGTGAGCGGAGGGGACCGTGTCCAGTCGTGAGGGCACGTTAAACGTTCGGACAAAATTCTGCCATACAACTGGAATTGCGCGATCGGGTGGTGGGGTCAGGGTCAGCACAACAAGCTATGCTTAGTGCGGGCTCTGACTCCTCAAATCCACCCATTCAACCATTCGGACTAAATTTATAAAAAAAAGTCAATGACCTTGACTTAACCTTCACGTGACCTTGTCACCCACCATAATGCATGGCACCAACATCATTTCACATATTTGAGCGTTCAAAACCACAAAAAGACTGGTAACCGCGGATAATGTGAACTGGCATACGCCGAATCACGATTCCGGCCAAACATGGTCTCGAGAAATATGCCACAGGTCAAAGGTCAGTTGGGTCAGAGTCATGAAAGTTTTAGGTTAGATGTAAATTGATGATCTCGAGGGCAACGAAAGTTTCGTCGCGATCGGCCGCTTTTTGCGCGAGTAATTTGCGGAAAACCATGGGGTTTTATCCGACCCCTCCCCCTCCCCACAAGTGCAAGGGTTAATAAGGTTACGGTATGTATTATTTACACTTGTCATCATATTCCTAATGAATGTGTCTCAGAAAATACGTGAATCACGAAGTAAAATTATTCGCCTCTGTCCGGAACATACCTACATATATCGTGCTGTTTGCCCTAGCGCTCCTAGAGTGGGGTGTTAAGATACTCTAATGTGAATATTCCGTGTTCAGGCAAGTTCCGGCAGCCAAACTAGGCGTTGACTTGTGCAGGAGAAAGTGGCGAATTTGATAGGATATATTTCGGAGTGGAAAAGTGTGGAAAACATTGTTGATTTCCTACATTTATTTAGAATACCATTCCTTCCACATGGTGTCTGTAAGGGTTTTTGTAAATGGCATTTTTGTGACCTTAGTAAGGTTGTGGCATACTTTCTGTTTGCCATTCCATTCCCAATAAAGGTGCCTTTCAGAAGATATGCAACTTAAGACCTCGCAAGATTAAAACTAACAGGACAGGACAATGAAATTGGGCTATACTTTCGGGCCTTACTGACCCCATTGAATAATCACGCACGAGTGTTAACTTTGGGCGCATTTTTCCTAGTCTTGCTGTGGACATACAGATAAAACAATGCCATATATGAAAAATTCAGACATTTCTTAGCCCCACTGACACAAAAAATAAACAAAAATCCAAAAAAGATTTTTTGAATTAAGAGGCGCTAGATCGGGAAAATCCCCACTGTGCAGTGTCAGGTAAATAGGTACTGCACTACATGCATATGCAAATTGCATTGTGCTCACCATTGAGTAACTGTACTACTCTGAAATCTGAATATTTATGTATTATGGTAGTGGTTGTACTCGTGTCCCGTTGTGCTCATATGCAAGGCCGACGTCATGTGCGCATGTTATGTATTTGGAGCAAAATCAGAGAATTTAGCATGAAACTTGGCCGAAATCGGGGATCGGAGAGTATGCTGCTGCAAATGCCACGCGTGCGCACAGAACTCGCTCGCCGTGCATTTATGTGCCGGGCTACCACCGCCTGGAACCGCTTGCCAGCCGAGCTCAGGAGGAGTCGTTTATTGTGTCACCCACGGAGGTGAATCGCGAGACATGGGGAGTAGATGTGCTCAGTTTTATCGCATTTAGCAATTTTGTAAAGCGCACAATGCAGGGTGTTGTTATAAAACGATAAAAAGCAATCGCCCCGAGCTTTAATAGAAGCAGATAACCACAATTTGAATGATGTTTCCAATGTCAAAATGCTGAAACATTTATTTCTTTTATTCTTTTTGGCCATGGGCCTGGGCCCCATGGGCCTCGCCATGGGCCTCGCCAACAGAAAGTTATTAATTTTATTTACATTTAGCTTTTTTATGTGAATTTGGGCCTCTCTCGAAAAAATAGTGGGCCCAATTCGCTGACTTTGGTTTTTGATAGGGGGTACCTTGACCCCCGGCCTTCGCCCCCCCCGCAACAGTTTCCATAAATTGGCACCCCTGCACTATACATTTGTATACTCATGTATGTATGTAAATGTACGTTGGGAAGCCGTTCGACACCTGGGGGCCCCCACCGGTGGGGGCCCCCCGAGAAAAAGTCGGACCAGTTTTCCTTACGCGTCGACGCCCCTGTTGTGGTAACCATTTGACAACGTTTAAACGACGTTGTAACAACGGCAAATTGTTAGCTGGGAACTCGTGGGAATATGCGCTTCAAGCCAACTAACACACACACCCACGTGTGTCATAATGCTGAGAGATGGCGTTCACTCGGCTTGCTCCTAACTTACGATAATTCTCTCGCTAGATGGCAGGCCTGATCCCAATGTCGCGGATCCCAATGTTAATTTCCACGAGACACCAATCCAGTGTTATATCATCCATGGTAAAACCCAAGGCCCTAAAACATAAAACCCTACATTACTTTAGCGGTGGGCTGTACGGGCTCGCGACGAAACTGGGCGACCGGCGAAGTACCGACCAGTACCGACCACGCGACCCGCGAAATCAGTGGGAAAGGACTACGCGTCTCAAGCTTCTTTTCTTGGAATTCCAATGAACTATGGATGCTTTGACTGATGCAGACTGAAGTTTTCATGTTTTTTAGCCCATGCTGTTTGAAATGCTTGAAAATAATTACAGTTGCATGTTTCAAAGGTTGCAGCAGTTTAGTGACAATTCCAATTCATTTCTCGGAACCTTGAGAGTCACGCGGAAGCGCGTTGTGCGTCGAATTTGTTGTTGAATTCGAAGTTGGCGCACCTTGAATTATAATTGATTGGTTATTGACAAAGACATTATAATATTCACATAATATTATCATCAGTAATATTTCCAGTAAGTGTGAATGGGTGATTAAGTTGTTGTTTGGATTCCATGCAGGTTGTGTGGTTTTGAGGAACACCCAAGGCTATATAATGATAAACCGGAACACCATTGCCATATATCAGTAGGTGGAACTATGGTCATGAGTACCCAAATATAGGAACGTTCCCATTTTTGGGAACGGAGTTCCCAAATATGGGAACGGGCGTTCCCATTTATGGGAACGGAAGGTAATTTTTCGGCCGTTTGCCCACTAAAACTTATGAGTGCATCACGTTTCAAAATAGTGCACGCTAATTTAAGTATCTACTAAGACTCTATAAAATTATCTTTAATCTGACCGTTGCACAAGGAAATTGACCGTCGAATGATATTTTTAATGATTTTTTGAAGTGACGGAATGGTGAAAACATGGGTTATACTACATTTAACTTGCAATTTTAAGGAAAATGAAGCGTTTGTTACATTTTGAGGTCAAGTATAATAATTTTCGCCTGGTTATGAAGTTTCATACTAGCTACACCAGATGCTGACATATGCAAGCGAACACGCGGACAGTCCGGGGGTAATATTGGTGACATTTGGTGTCGGGGCGCACGACCGCATGGAACGTCAGTGATTTTACCGAACTACTGTTGTAAACTTAGTTTCAGTGGTTTAAAATTATTCAGCTGTATTTTATCATCCCAGAAAGACATATTTTATTTGGATGCTAGTTGTTTAGAGTTGTTTTATAAGGAGCGTCATGAGCGTGGTTTTTGTCTTCCGTGTTTCTAAGCGTGATCGTTTTGGGGGAATTTCTCTCATATTGGTCGCTCTGTGTGGCTTATTTATAATTTTTGCTGATTTCGATCATTCCTCGTGCCCATCCTACCAGGCCTTTTGCCACTTACACTCATCTAGAAAGGAAAAAACTAGATTTTCATTGGGACTAGTTGTTTTGAGGGTGGAACATATTCAGCGTTCCCATTTTTGGTTACTTCCTTGTGCTCGTCAACTATCGGTGATAAACAGACAGGTGCTTGACATGTCTCCACCCTCGGCGCGGACGGTGGATATAGGTATGGAAGACCTTGTTGAACATCGCTGAGCGTTGTGAATTACGTAATCCTACAGAGGGGGGCGTGCCCGCTGCGAGATCGACGGGAATAAAAGCGCAGAAGGCTGGGCGAAACATGCGACGGTCTTGCCGGAAAGGTCATCTGATGATTGTTGCGTTAACAATAATTTGCGGCGTTGGACGTGATGCTTGTTAAGGAAAAGAGCCCCTGAAAGGCGTCGGTGAAATCGTTCCCAATTTTGGGTACGCCGTTCCCATAATAAGGAACGCTTGCAGCGCCAGTGTACGAGAGCGTTCCCAAATTTGGGCTCGCGGCCCGGATGATGGACTGCTTTAGAAATAGGGGAACGATTTGAAACTACGATGGGCCTTACAATATCAAACTCTTTCCCAACAATATTGAGACAAATATCAGGCGGTTCACGATCGTTTTATATTTTTTGGACGTCATTTAACGGTTCTTTTTCTTGTTTTAAATAATGCCTACATGGCGTTCCCATATTTGGGTTTATCGTTCCCAAACATGGGAACGAAAATGCGTTCCCGAAAATGGGTATGCTTGACCATAGTTCCGCCTACTGATATTGGGATGAATGAAATGAAGGTATAGTCTGTTCTGTTCCATATCAAGCTTGTGGTCTGAGTTCCTTCGGCAGTTGGTTCCTCCAGTCCACTCATTAATTTGTGGTTTGAATGTAAGCTGTATGTACAGGAATCACACACTTCCTTTAGAAGGGCACTGCGTCAGTGTGCGTCACACTTGTTTTTTGCAACCAAGGAGAGGTGCTATACCCAGAGATGCTTTCTAATCAAACCAAGCCAAATCTAATCAAACCTTACCTAACATTACCTACAACCTAACCTACACTCTACAGTTGGTTGCAAAAAAAAATTGACTCGCTTTACTACTAGACTAGGTACTAGGTAACAAAGTGAATTCCAAAACATCATGTAGGTATTAGGTAAGCCATGAAGTGTTTTTATTTTTGCAAGCCTGTATTCAAAGTATAAATTTAAAAATAAATCAAAATAGCTTTTCAAATACTGAACCCAGACTACCAAGTGCCAGTGCTATAATTGTACTCCACATTGCTATTGTATTGGTTCATCAACACTTATCATGTTACACTTACACAGCACTTATGTCTGTTACACTTATGTTACATGTTACACTTATGTCTGAGGCACCCCTTAAACCACTTCCATGTCTGACATACTCCTTTTTTCTCCATAAGGTGCTCTCGGGACTCTGATGACATCACCTCGCCCAGAGATGACGTCGGATGAGCCACTGGCGGACCAATCATCAGACTGCCCCGATGTGGCGTCACCACCCTCTCTGGCTGCTGTGGAAGAGGAACCAATCGACTCCCCAGAGCGATCGCCGGGAGGTCCGGAAGGACCAGAGTCGGACTCTGACTCTGAGGACTCAGACTCTGGCCAGTCGGGAGTCAGCAACATCAGTGGACTCAACTGGAAACCTAACGCAGGTGGGTTTTGGAGGAGATTGTGAAAACACTCTGCTGAGGATGTTTAAGGTAAATGACTGAAAGAGAATGTGGGGAAGCTGGTGAGAGATGATGGAAGCTGGAGCAGAAGAGGCAATCCTGGCCTATGAGATTATGACTTTACTGATTCTCATTTCAGTTTCTCATGTTAAAAATAGCAGACAATTGCTTCTAAAATAATTCGTAAATCCGCCGCCCAGCGCGGATGACCTTGAGCTCGCCGTCTGCTGCAGCCCCAAAGCCGATACAGCGCACTGGGGCGGTGAATTTGCAATGCCAGATCACCCACAACTCTCTGAAATTTTCCACCTATGATGTCACCTCCACCCCGTCTGTCTCTCTATAACCCCACTGATATCTACCCCGCCATTCCCGATATGCTGGGTGCAGAGCCAGGCTGGCGTGGACCGCCGAGAGGTACAGTAGGTGTACAAAATAAGTCCTCTCCGTATGCGGGCAGGTGGCGCCCGAGTAGCGATCAGGCACTAACTGCCCGCTGGTGACCCGCATACGCCGGGGACTTGTAGACCTACTGTACTGCACAGTGCACTCCCTGTCTCTAACATCTCTAATCTCTATAACCCTCCACAGGTCCGATATGCTGGGTGCAGGACCAGGCCGGCGTGGACCCCCGGGAGGTACCACACACCCTGTCTCTAACCTGTCTAATCTCTACCTCCACAGGTCCGATCTGCTGGGTGCAGGACCAGATAGGGGCCGGTGTGGATCCCCGGGAGGTACCACACCCTGTCTCTAACCTGTCTAATCTCTATAACCCTCCACAGGTCCAATATGCTGGGTGCAGGACCAGATAGGGGCCGGTGTGGATCCCGAGAGGTGCTGCACACCATACGGCCCGGCCTGGGGCCGATACCTGGCCATATCGATGACATCACCCTGTGGAAGGTGGGTAGAGGCGGGAACGGATTCCTTCAGCAGTTAGGGAATGACATGCAAGAGCATTTACAGGTAGCAACTCAGTTACCAATGCCCTTTGCTTGTGTTTGTAGTGTTTTACTTCCGATGGGCACCGATGACTACTGTAGTCCGGGCGCTCAAAAACCCCAATTCATTATCATCATCACTTTCGAGCTTGCGACTGATGCAAGCAAGGGCAATGTATTTGAACTGGGTCTCGATTGCTGCAAGAGTGTTTGAGCCCTTAGAGTAAATACAACAGCGTATTATCTCGAATTATCACTAACGTTTTGTCAATCGATGACTACATTTTTGCGTGTGGATTGTGGAAGAATTACTTTATCAACTGTTAATGTAAGTGCATCATGCATTAAATATGTCTTTTCAAAAGCGAAATTGCTTCATTTAGGCAATGCTTCAGTCCATTGAATATTTTGAAGTGTAATGTCTGTTAACCTAGAGCAATGTATTTGTACTGGCTCTCGACTGCTGCCCAGAGAGTTTCAGCCCTTGGAGTAAAAACACCTGCAGCTAGCCAGGGCCGCGGAGTCGGAGCCGGAGTTGGAGTTGGAGTTGGAGTTGGAGTCGGTCGGAGTCGATAGTTGTGATCGGAGTCGGAGTTGGAGCTGGTTTTTGGAAGCCGGACTCGGAGTCGGAGTCACTGAAAATCCATCGACTCCGCAGCCCTGCAGTTAGCCTGTCCATCCCTGGTCCATACAAGGCCATATATAGGGGTCCATCCTTCCAATCGTGACTCGTCTGTATGTCTCTGTCCTCAGCTCGTGATTGAGATACTGAGCGAGCCTCCGCGCCGTGAGAAGCTGCGTCATGTCAACACCCTCTCCGACGTCGTCAGGCTGATCCGTGGGGCCACCAACGTCATCGTACTCACCGGAGCCGGGGTGAGTGAAGTTTGAAACAGAGGGGGAGGAGGGGCAGCACATACTGGTAGGGGAGCGGTCTTATAGGGGGGGGGGGAGTAAGAGTCGAGAGAGGAATGATATCTCGTATCCAGGAGTGATGGTTGGCCGTGTGAGTTGATGATGACTTGACTTGTTTTGAGACACATGTCTTGGTGCGTGCGTGGAGGGCATGTTGAAATTGTTACATAGTTTAAATTAGTTTAAATGGATGCTTTGTTTTCATGTTCATGATAGGTGATATTCTTGTCTGTGGTTAAAAATTCATGTGCTTTTATGAAAGTCTTACATTTTATTATCACTGTTATTCCTAGCATAGCTGAACCCATGGTGACAGAGCTGACAGCTTATTGGGACCCTTCCATCCCAGTGTTACGCTGCTATAACCAGTATGACCCGGAGTGACCGCTCTGCCCTCCGACCTCCCTCAGGTGTCTGTATCGTGCGGCATACCCGACTTCCGGTCACGTGACGGCATCTACGCTCGGCTGGCGGTCGACTTCCCCGACCTCCCCGATCCCCAGGTCAGTTCAAGGTTAATTAGTTAGGTCGGAAGGTAAGCGAAAGGTTAGCATTCAATAGGTCACGTCAGATAAGGTGTGACAGTTCATCAGATGACATCAGAGCTGGTGTGAAGGGTCATGGGGCTAGCAAGAGGTTTCAGGTCATTCAAGATCAGTGAACTGGTCATGAGGCCACGTTTAAAAGTCAATTTTAAGTGATCAAAGTCCATTAGAAGGTCTGATAGATCACGATCAGTAGTTAATGTCGTAACTTCAACGACAGATCATCAAATCACGTCTTGGTCAGGTCAGTGAGAAGTGATCAGGTCACGTCGTCTGAGAAATCAACTTTCAATAGTATTGGCTGTGTTCCATGGCTAGCAAGTCTGCAGCTATTTCACCTCCACTGTGTTCCGTTTTTTTTTCCACAGGCGATGTTCGACATACACTACTTCCGGCGCGACCCACGGCCGTTCTTCAAGTTCGCGCGGGAGATCTATCCGGGCCAGTTCAAACCGAGCCCCTGCCACCGGTGAGGCAATGAGGGAGGGTGAATGAGTGGTCAGTGGAGACATTAGTATACCAGGCGGACAACGTTTCCAGGGTTACAGATAACATGTAGCAAAGGCATCCGTTTCACTGTGGTTGATACGATAGCAAAATGGGAAGAGTGCTGTCTTGAAGTCGTTGCTGGCAACAGATAGAAGGCACCTCATATCATCTCATCTCATCTGTATTTCACATACATACAACATGTATAGACATGACGAACGTCCTGGGATTGGCGCACAGCCCAAGTGAGGCTGTGCGCCACGCGGGTCGCGACCTCATTCCTAGTGGATCAATCTTTACTGGGGGTGAAAATTCTTGTTATTCCCATAACTATCCAAGCGAACTCGTCTTAACAACGTCTTATCTCTTTCCCAGTTTTGTTTTGTTTCTGGCTTGTGTTCAATCACCGATAGAATGAAAATAGACGACCAGTGACAGTGGCTAAGTCGAAATATTGCATTCTTACCGACTCGTACATTTACCGCCCGCGTCCTGTCGCCAGGTTCATCCGGATGCTGGAGCGCCAGGGGAAGCTGCTGAGGAACTACACGCAGAACATCGACACCCTGGAGCAGCAGGCCGGCATCGAGAATGTCATCCAGTGTCACGGTCAGTCAGTGTGCGGAGAGGGCGGGTTCGAACCCCGGGCTGGGCGAAATATTTTGGTGATTTTTGTGGTGGGTTTATTGTTGGGTTGTGTTGATTCCAATCGGCAGTTAATTACATGCCCTCCCCTTTATCCCGCTATACTAGCTCTATTCGACCACTCGATATCTCTAATTGTCATCCCCTTTGCCATCCACTTCTCATCTCAAATACCTCTATAGTCTGTTCCATATCAAGCTTGCAGTCGGAGTTTCTTCGGCAGATCGCTCCTCCGCTCAACAATTTATGTCTTAAAATGTAAGAACTGTATATACAGAAATCACGCACTGCTTTCAGCAGGGCACTTTGGCTGCAAACTTGAACGGAACAGAGTATAGTATCTTTATCTCTGTCTCATTGTTATCTCAGATCAGCTCATCCCCTACACATTTTGTCATTCATAGGCCAAAAGCTTGTTCTTTTTTTCTTCCACTCATCTCTTTGTTTGTTTCTTTCTTTCTTTCTTTCTTTCTTTCTTTCTTTCTTTCTTTCTTTCTTTCTTTCTTTCTTTAATCTTTCCTTCTTTCTTCTGTCTAGTCATCTCTCTCCCCTCCCTCCCTCCCTCCCTCCCTCCCTCCCTCCCTATCTCCCCTCTCTCTCTCTCTCTCTCTCTCTCTCTCTCTCTCTCTCTCTCTCTCTCTCTCTCTCTCTCTCTCTCTCTCTCTCTCTCTCTCTCTCTCTCTCTCTCTCTCTCTCTCTCTCTCTCTCTCTCATCTCACACATCACCCCCCTCTCCAGTCGTCCACAGGCAACCTTCTCTCTTTCTTCTGTCATCCATCCCTCTGTCTCCTTCTCATCTCCCATCCTATTCTTCTGTCATTCACATCAACCTCTCCTTTTTTCATTCATCTCTATCTTATTCACATCTCATGTCTTCTGTCGTTCACAGGCTCGTTCGCCACTGCCTCCTGCCAGCGGTGCCGGTACCGCGTCCCGGCCGAAGAGATCAGGGAGGATATCTTCCAACAGCGCATTCCTGCGTGCCCGCGCTGCCCCGCCTCCGCCTCTGTCGTCTCCATCACTTCTGGTAGTGGTAGAAACGACTCTACGGCGGCTGGTGGTGGAAGCGACTCTACGGCGGCTGGTAGTGGTAGCGACTCTACTGCCCCTGGTGGTGGTAGAAGTGATTCTACCGCCCCTGGTGGAAGCGGCCACGGTGGTGTGGACAAAGGAGAGGATTTGAAGGCTACCTGCAGCTCTGCTGACGCTGCTACTGCGGGTGAAGCGAAGCTGAATGTGAAAGGTGGTGCTACTGAAGGAGCTACCTGTGGTACTACTGATGCTACTGGCGGTGCTGCCGCCGGTGTGTCATCTAGTGCTACGCCTAACACCTCAAGTGCCACTGACTCCATCACGACCGCTGCCGCCAGCACTTCATCCAACACTACCACTGCAGACTCGTCCATCACCACGCCTGCATCAACATCTACACACGCACCTACACAGCCCTCGACTCACCGCTCTGCGTCGGTCGACGTCCACGACGTCTTTGTGGCTTCAGCAACGGACTCGGCTGATGGTGAGGCTATGGCTGCGGCTGCTGCCGCTGCTGACGCCTCGGATGTGATTGGCGTGGATGAAGCCCTTACACACGGCGCAGAGGCAGCGATGCATGGAAAAACGCATCAGCATGGAAACGTGCATGGACATGGTGTCTCCCATGGGCATAGGTCCACGCACAAGCATGGTGAAAGACATGGACACGGTAGACCGCACCAACGTCATGAAAAAGCCGAAGGACATGACGAAGTCAACCATCACAGTGGAGTAACTCATCACCATGGTGCAACCCACGAAAGTCATCAACACAGTCACAAACATCATAGAATGAAGTCTCAAAGCTCCCACACATCTAACTCAAACTGTGAAGGAAGTACCACCTCTAGCGGTTCTACCAAACCTAGCGCCCATGCGGAGTCAGCGTCAGAAATCTCGGCCAAGAGCGGCGAGGATTCTTCAAGGATCCCTACTGTGTCCTCTTCTGAATGGACGTCCTCCGAGCAAGTGTCCTCAGAGCAAGGACACACTGAGGAGAGAACAGCTACGGTAGATGAAGACACTGCCGACTCCGGGTTCGCTGCCTCCACGCGAGAGGCGGAAGACGATGGTGCGAGACCTTCCGGCAAGGGTGAGCACAAGTGTAGGTTTGTGTGGTGATTGTGTAAGGCCGTAATTCCAAAGTAGGGTGCTCGCTGATTGCACAGAGCTTTCTGCACTGTTCTAGTGGAGGGTTAGTTTTATGGGCGAGCTAGAGCCTTATAAATTAATTAAGTGGTATGCTGTTGGCAAGCAAATCAGGGGCGGAGCTTCCTATACAGTTGGTGGGGCGGCTGCCCCACCAATAAGCGTTTTGCCCCACCAACTTAAGCTGATTTTTAAGACTTTGTTGCTTTGCAAATGAATCTTTTTCGCATTGCAGAGCTTTGGAATGTCTGTTTAATGCAAAATATTATATCTGTAATGATAGGAATTGATTCAGTGTGGCATTTTATTCAACTTTATAATCGGACATTGTGGGTTTGAGACTTTAACCCTCGCCGGACCTATTGGTTTTCTACATACGCGCCGGCCGAGGGGGGGCGGCGGGTACGACCCCCCCTCGCCGTTTCGCCCCTGGTGGAGCTAGCGCGTCGCGGAAAAAACGAGCGTGTGCGCCGTTACGAGACGCAGAGATTGGTACCCGATTTTAAGGTCCTAGGTCAACCGGTGACCTCTGAGGTCAGGTCAAGTGCCCCAAGGTACGGTTCAGTTTTTGGTGAATAACTTCGCAAAAAACGGCCGCAGAGCGCTGATTTTGGCAGCATCGTGTTCGCCTCGCTCAGGCGCGTCGAATGATATACTTTTTGTCCGGGTCAGGTCAACTTGGGGTGTTGACCTCAGGTCAAGGTCAGGTCAGCACCCCCAGGTCACGAAGTTGGTTGAAAGAGGTCATGTCGCATATCATTCGATTCGGAAGGCCTTCCTGAGTCCATTGGTGGCTTTCCCGACTCGCTAGCTCAATTTGATCAAGAGTTATTGACGAAAAACTAATATGACCTTGATGACGTCATAAATGACGTCACGCAAGGTCAACATTGCAAAAGTGACGCATCTAACCTTGTAAGGAGTGCACCAAATCACGATTCTGTGTGCTTGAGATAGTTAGAGATCGTTCCCGGCGCCAGAATAGCAGTTTTCATTTTTCCCCATTGACTTATAATGGTGAGGTCACGAAAATGACCTGACCTCATATGACCTTTAGGGAAAATCCGAGATATACAAGTTGTGAGACTCATAATGGATACTAGATCCTGCAAGTTTCATTTCCCTGTGACATCTCCTCTGGCAGTGAGGGCGTTGCGAAGTTGCGACATCTGAAGACCGTGCAGAGGTTCACTTATGACGTGATAGGTCAGTGACCTGACCTGACCCAAAAATTCGGTTTGTGTCAAAAGATGCGGCTTGGATCAAAGGTCAGGTATGCCAAGTTTCAGCTCTCTATCACCAGCGTGTTCGGAGCTATCGCGAAAAAACCCTATGGGGGGGGCGGCACCCGCCCCCCCCTCGGCCGGCGAGGGTTAAAGCTCCACCCATGAAGCAAATGCATCAAAAATATTTTTACCTTTCCGAGCCTTTAACTGCTTTTGGTTACAAATGCTGCCAGTTATCATCAGGCTTGCCTTAAGATTGCTTGCGATCATATTATCTGCATGCCTTTTTATTCTACTGACAGATAACAGCTTCTTGACCCCCTTCTCTCTTTCCCTCAGACGACCGGCCGCCGTCCATCATGAAGCCTGACATAGTGTTTTTCGGCGAGGGCCTACCGGATGAGTTCCACCGCAGTATGGAGCTGGACAGGGAACGGTGTGATCTGCTCATCATCATCGGATCCAGCCTCAAAGTCCGACCCGTGGCTCTTATACCGAGTGAGTGCTGGGATCGAATCCAGGCAGGGGCAGGATTTGTGTTTTTCTTGTTTTCTAGCCAAAGCATCATTTACCTTTTTAAATACGACCCCATTTCTGAACAGACGGAAACTTAGTGCCGAGGGTAAATTTTTCGCATCATTCGTAGCAGAATGTGTCGGCCGTTTGTTTCTGGACACATTGCGCAAATTTTGTAATTTCCAAACGCTCGTCATTCCCCATGCCAAAACATTCGCTGGGTTTCGGAGTGTTGTCCTCAAGAGAGCTTCTGCTTTGTAAATGGCCCAAACCTGCCTATCACGTGGTTTTGTGGGAGCCCCCCCCCCCCCCCCCCACCAGAGCTGCGGCCGGGTCAGCCGCCGGGCCGCCAGCTGATTGGCCGGCTGACGGGCCACAGCGGGCGCTGACCTCGCCTGGGTCGAACCGGAGCAGGCTGCAATGGGTCGCGGGTGTGCCAGACGGCAGTATCTGACTGCTAAAAAAAACTTACTTCGTCATTTTTAATTACACTTAAATTCATGCCACTACTGGGCCCAATCTCACCAAGTGCGGTAAACTCAATTTCGGGGTAGTTATTTGTAGCTACGTAGTGGGGTAGTTTGGTAGTTTGCCCCAAATTGAGTTAACCGCACTTGATGAAATTGGGCCATGGTGTTGTTCTGTCGCAACCAAGATTATAAGTAGCAGTGAATGGAATATTGGTAGAGGTGCAGCCGCCATACGGCTTCCCAGGTAAACCCGGCCTCACAGTGGCATGTTTTGCTTTTTGCTATATTTGCCATGTTCGAGTTGTCAAATATTCCTACATTTTTAATCAGTAACATTACCTAATGAGGAGTCAGTTTTACCTCACGTCTTCCTATCATCACTAAGTGAATATATAAAGCAAGGGCATTACTATGACGTTTAATTTGCTCGTTGCAGATGTTTTATGACTTAGTTCAAATAGGGGAGTCGGCGGGGCAGGTAAATATTCGTAGTAATGGATCCCATGGAAGACGTCTCCGCACTTCGTATTACGATTGTTGTGTGTCGAGATATTCAAGGCGCCAGGTCAGGGACTTCATGTTTTCGCAAAACCGCTTATGTAGTATGCTATGCTGAGGAGTTCCGTTTGTGTCCTGCAACCGCGGGAAACTTCAAAGAGTTGCCGCCCAACGTGGGGCTCGAACCCACGACCCTGGGATTAAGAGTCCCATGCTCTACCGACTGAGCTAGCCGGGCGCTGAGGGAATCGCATGTTTAGGGCTTTGTGTTCATTGTAGTTGATATTCATTCATATATTCATTTCTTGTTTCATTCATTCATTCATGGCTTCATTCATTCAGTCATATTTACAGGGATCGCTTGTGCACCATACAAAATGCGAAGCCAATGAAGCGTTATTTGGAGCGATACATGAGCGAACGCAATAGTAAGCCGAAAAGTGGAACTTGCGAGCCTTGTGGCGGGAACCCTTCCAATGTGTCGACAACAGTGTATCAAATGAGCGCGACTGACGCCGGTGTTCTTGGTATGTAGGAGCAGCCCCCGCACGTGCGCACGTGCAAACTGGACCCAAACTGACTTGTTCACTGCACCCTACTAACCGGTCCCCAACTGTACCAAACTTGAACACAATCGGCTCAGTGTTCTCGATATTTGTAAGCCATCCTGGCTCGCGCTCACGTGCACCCTAACCCGGAGCCGCCGGCCGCTGGACATCCGGTGGAGATAGGACACCGCGGGTGGAGATATGACACGGCGGGTGGAGATATGACACCGCCGGGTCGGGTGGCGAGTGCTCGACACTGCTCGGGGTTACATGAGCAGAGTTAATACGCATTACAAACGGACTACAATGGTGAGCGAATAGGAAAATCCGTTCCTGATACGCATTTACTTGCTCATGTAACTACGGTCACTGGCTAGTGGGCCGGCGGCGATTACGGTTAGTTTAGTTCTGAGTGGGACACGAGCGGCGGAGCTGCTGTCTGAACTAGACAGGGGGCATTCATATGTTCCGCAGTTCATATGTGCCACACATATTCCACAGCAGATTTTGTTGGTTAGGTTTTAGGTTGTAGATTGGTAGATACCAGGTTGTAGGTTGTAGGTAAGGTTAGGTCAGGTTAGCTTATGTTTTGTTCTATATTTTCTTTAAAAAGAGATAGGCTATGTATCGTGAGACGTGAACTACGTATGTGGCATATATGATATACATTATACACCCAAATCGTCGGAAATCATGCCTACAAGGTTACTCCTACAATGGCAGGCCTGATAGCTAGCAGTCTTTTTCCTGACGTTTTTTTTTGTGTTTTATTTTAACCTTGTTTCTCTCTAAAAGGACGTGTTCCTTCAGTGTGTGACTGTACCCTCTCTCCCTGTGTTTCTCAGGTTCTGTCAACCCGGACGTGGCCCAGATCCTGATTAACCGAGAGCCTCTGCCACATCTCAACTGTGACGTCCAGCTGCTGGGCGACTGTGACGTCATAGTGCACCACCTCTGCCACCTGTGAGTACTGCCGACGATGCGGTGTGACGTCATTTTGACGTCAATTTGTAGTACCTTGCTTGCCATGTCGGGTGGTGTCGGGAATGCGATGTTAGTTTTGCGTGGTAAATGGTGACATGATATGGATGAGCATAATATTAAGGTCTTTTGAGTTCACTAGGTTATACTCCTACCTTATTTTATGGTATATAACAATATAATAATAACAATATAACAATTTTAGTATATACCTACCTTATCATATATTTGTTATTAGTATGCTAATTGGTATTATCATGCTAGGTTGAAACGAGGATAAGGATAGCTCAATACATTGTTTTCGATCTCCTTAAATGCCATTTTATCGATTATTTTCTTTCATCGGCCTGTTCCGAACACATCAAATAACATTGAATGATGCACTGTCGAGTGTTTTGCAAAGCAACGTTTGGTTGTCTGTGCCTACTCAGCTATCAGTTACTTAGATCCGAGAGTGACAAAGTTGGACCAGTTGTTTTTCTGCACTGCAAACTGACCGCGCGCTAAGTACTGCTATTTGAAGTAGTATTCGACAGGTTGAAAGCCTTGTGACAAGTTGCATTGATCTCAGTCTTAAATCCACTAGATCAGACTTTACATGCAGTTTTCTTATGTATTTCGAACCTCATTTAGGCCACGATTTTGCACATTGTCCTGCGAAGAATGCCATATGTTTCATGATGTCTCGTGATGCAAAAGGCCAAGTGATTGATCCTTCTGTAAATTCAAATCAACCAGTTAACCAGTAAAACGTTGACTCTGTAAACCAGTAAAACGCCTTTTGGGGCGACCAACGGAGCTAGCGAGAGGGTGGGCCTTGCACGTGCGAAATTGCGAGCGGGTACTTCCAACGAACTTGTGCACTGCACCCTACTAACCGGTCAAACGATGTGCCAAATTTGAACGCAATAGGCCTAGCTGTTCTCGAGATCTGGAAGCGGCACCCTGCTCGTGCGCACGTGCAAAATGGGTCCCAACTGCCTTTTGCACGGCACCGGCCTACTAACCGGTCCCTAACCATGTACAGACTTAACCCGCGCCCTGCTGGGGGTCCTGGATTTCCACGCCCTGCTGGGGGGGGGGGGGTGTTTGAACACCCCCCCTTGTAACTCGGCTCCTGGGCCACGTAGCGATACGCGGAAGGCGGCGTTCGAAAGAGCGTCAAAAATAATGACGAAATCACTTCGGTCAATTTTTTTGGTCAGGTCAAAGGTCAGGTCACCAGAGGTCATTGAAGGCAAAATTTCGCCGATTTCCAGGTCGAATGTCGAAAATTTCCAAGAAGCCAACGCATAACTCGGGAACCAATAGAGCTACAGCGCCGCGGAAAAGCGCATTCGATAGCCCTATTAACGCCCTTTCTGAGTAATTCTCTCAGATTTGACCTAACGTCAACGGTGTTGCCTCCAGGGGGCAAAAACTGCAAAAATAGACGATTTTTTCGGAAACAGTTTTTCTGCAATAACTTTTGACCCAAGCCTTGTACGAGCTTACTTTTACCGGCATCGTGTTCCTCTCGTCAAGACGCATCGAATGAACTATAACTTGACCTTGAAAGGTCAACTTGAAAATTTGACCTCAGGTCAAGGTCATGACCTGACCGGAAAGGGTCATGTTGCATATCAGTCGATCCGTATCGTCGAGCTGAACACATCTAAGGCGTTTTCATCGCTCTAGCATGCCTCTATCAAAAGTTATTTGCAAAAAACTGTTAGATACCATTCGTGACCTAAGAAGACCTCAGGGCATAAACAAGGGTCACGGACACCATTTTCATGTTCAGTGTGTCTAAACCACTTGTAATTCGGTGTTTGGGAGTGTTTATAATGTCTTGCATCCAAAAGAGGCGCATTTCAATTTTCTCCCATTGACTTATAATGGCGAGGTCGCAAAATTGACCTGACCTTAGGTCATCGATATCAAAATTCTGAGATATACATTTTGTACATGCTATTGCCTTTAGCAATCGCTGAAAGTTTCAAAGCGATCGGTCACTCGGTGTAGCTATGACAGACATTGAAAGTTTTTATGAGGTGAGGTCACTTCAAGTGACCTGGTGACCTGACCTTGAATGACCTTGGTCTGAAATTTTTACAACATGTGTAGAATTGATGTATGATAAGGTGTACCAAAAACGGCGGCGCTCCGCGCCGCCGTTTTTGAGATATTCGCTAAAAACCACAAGGGGGGGTGTTCAAACACCCCCCCCAGCAGGGCGCGGGTTAACATGCAGTTTTCTTATGTACCAAACTAACACTTGTATTGGTTAATCTTCTGCGACCTGAGTAGAGTGACTACCAAGGCTGTGAGAGTGATACTAGAAGACATGTGTCGGGCTATCTTGTTAGCCGCCAGGCGAGCCGCCGTGTGCCTGTCTCGCGAATGTGGTCACTTCAAACATTTGCTGTGAGAGACTGAACACGAGAGCAAGCAGAGGAGAGTGATGCCATTATGAGTTTCCACGAAATATTCTCTCGTTAGGTGTCGTTCCCAGTCACCTGCATGCCATAATGCATGTTTTTGCGAGTTAAAAATGTTCCCATCCTTTCTTTGGTCCACCCTGTAGTTCTGCCGTGCAAGGGCAAAAACGATAATTTCAGGTCAGAGGTCATTACCTCAGTTCAGGGGTCACCTTAACGTAATCATTTTTGCCTTAGCACTGCAGAATTGTGTTCGTGTGCACTACATAGCATAGACTTAGCACTGACGCTCACCCCCTTCCCTCACAGGCTGGGTGGCTCTTTCTCCGAGCTCTTAACTGGTGACGGAGACAAGTCACCAACTCTGCCTCTGAGGGAACTCACCGAGCTTCCCCCTCGCCCCGCGCCATCTGCGCCGTCCTCACCGCTGGCCGACCCGACCAACGAGAATGATACTGACGCCCTCCGGCACTGCTGGCAGAGGAAACTGAAGGAGAGCGTCGCTGCCAGACTACCCGGTGAGTACGGGTTCGAATCCCGAGAGGGGTGGGACTTAAGGTGCGATTTTAGATTAGGTATTTAGACACCGCGACGGTCTAGATTGACTAGGTGGTTAGTCAGGTAGAAAAGCAGTTATCCTTGTAATTCACTGAAGAGCTGTTAGCTACATCATAGTTCTTGCTTTGAGTAGATTTGTTTTGTGTCGGTGCGCTAAAATTTGGCCACCGTGATTGAAATCAAGAGACTCTTCTTGACCGTTCTAATTTTCACCATGGCGGTAAGTTAAAGGCTTTTTCATTATGTTTTTGTGTTAATTATGTTGTTTGTGTGTCAGATAGACTGAATCATTCTGATTTACGTGCGATCGGCGAGAGATACTTATCAGAAGAAGTTTTGTTACGGGCGTTTGCGTCCGCCCTTAGTCTGGCGCCTGGCGCCGCCCATGTCGCCTCCCAGATGGGCGCGCCTGGCGCCGCCCCTGCCGCGTGACCCGGGGCGGGGTCAGCGGCTGGCTCCCGCGGACGGGCGGCTGCCCGGGAGGGACATGTAAACGGCTGAGGCGAGCGGCTTGTTCCCTCGTGCTTTTGGTGCGTTCCGCCAGCAGTATATGCAACGCATGGATAACAAGCGTAATCTACTATGGACGTCAAACCCCTTGAGACCCCACTTTTTTGCGATAATTTTTAAATGTCAACTCTCGTTGACAATATTCTGGCAATGTGTGTTTCAGAACCTGCCGAAACTTTTATTATTAAGGTATTTTGACGCCAAACGATTATGAACGGTACTTCTCATTCACTCGTAATGCTAAGGTCAATTCAGGCCCGGGCAGAGGCTTGCGCTCGGCCACACTCGAGCCCCGCCACCAGCGCCATCTGCTCTTAATGTCATCTACCAGCGCCCGCTACCGCTACCAGCTACCGCCCACCATCAAGCCTGAATGGAGCGAGAGACGCTAGTGACCGGTCGCCGGGCAAGGAGCGCCGGAGGGGTAGGGCGGAGCTTAGCGCTGACGTCATTACGTGGCTCCTCCCCATGAGCGCGTAGCCTCTACCCAAACAGCAGATTCGTTCCGTGAAATTTAACATTACGAGTGAATGAGAAGTACCTTTCATAATCGTTTGGCGTCAAAATACCTTAGTAATAAAAGTTTCGGCAGGTTCTGAAACACACATTGCCAGAATATTGTCAACGAGAATTGACGCATTTAAAAATTATCGCAAAAAAGTGGGGTCTCAAGTGGTTTGACGTCCATAGTTACTCCCGCAATATTATCTACATCATTTTGTTTGTCATGTTTATGGTGGTTTCCATTGGCCCCACATTTACCTGACTGACGCTGCCCTTTATTCTTCAACAGAGGGCACCTACCTGCACCAGCCGCCGTCCCGGTACATTTTCCCCGGAGCGGAGGTGCTGGTCGATCCTGACGACTCGGACAGCGACAGAGACTCGCTGGATTCGGACCGCGGCAGTGACGATGAGGTGAGTTGGTGCTGGAGGGTGGGTTCGATTCCAGCCACGGGATACTGATTTTGCGTTTTTCATTCCTAAAGCGTTTTATTAAAGTTGCATGAATCAGCGTTGTTAATTGTTTTTATTAATATCGAATTTCGACCTTAAATTTCTGAGCTGCTACAAAATTGCTTTCTTTCGGCACATTGTGTTGCAACTCAGCAATAGATCTCTTCGCATCTCATACGTCATATATTACAGGTTTCCTATAAATATTTTCTATTTATAAACATCAGGGCATATCATTATGGTAATCATCCTAGTGCGTGTCACCACACATCATCTCGGAGCACATCAGGGCACTAACACCGCGCCCCTTCTCTTTCTGCAGTCTCCGACCGCTGATGGCGACCATCTGAACAACTCCACGGATACTCCAGAGACGGGCGTCACGCCTCCACACACCGACTCCTGTCCTCCAACGCCTCCTGGACGTACTGCAACCTCTGGAGCATCATCAGGAGCACCGGGAACGTGTTCTACATCTACTGCTGAAGAGGAGACTTCAGCTACGCCGACGGTGAACCCTTCTTCGACATCGGATATCGAGAAGGAGCCAGAAACGGTGGGTTCGTCAGGCTCAGCCCTGAAAAGGCCGATCAGTGAAACACTAGGAGAGGAGGAGAGTGATGTGAAGAGACCGGCGTTCGGTGGCGGAGGTGAGCCTGGCGTGTCTTCCGCCACCGCCAAAACCACCCCCGCCACCGCCCCCGCTGGAGACAGTGGTGGCGCGCAGAGTGCGTCGGAAAATGCCACCGGCTCAGCTGAAGCGATCAGCTAATCTACCACTTCGGGATTCGATAGAACACACCGAAGTTGGGGTCAGCTTAGTGAGTTTTCACGTGAATACCTGCACTGGATGGTGACCATAAATATCTATTTTCATACAGTGTCTATCAGTGTGCGTTAACTAGCGTTGTGTCCTGTGACTAGTGCAGTTAGACTGAGTTTGGAGCAGGGAAGTGAAAATCATGAATCCGACTGATCCGGTTAGAAATCAATCATGGGAACTGTTGTGGAGCTATGAGCCAATGGTGAGCTAATTTAGGGTTACGAGCTCTATGGAGCTATGGGCCAGTGGTTAGGTTCATTGAGATTTCAGCCAGTGGTGAGCTAATTTGGAGCTCGGGATGAGCTAATTGGAGAATCTGTTGACCAGGGATGAGCTATATGAACCAGTGATGAGCTATCCTGGAGCCATGAGCCAGTGATGAGCTAATTAATCCCTTTGTCGGCATGTAGCCGAACACGCAGACCCGCCAGATAACCAATTTTATTCGTGACATCATGACACACCGGAAGTTTCTTTTTTCTTCAGTACTTCGCTTCAGTTTAATGATGTGTTCCAGAATAAAAAGAACCATTTCATCTATCGTTATTGGTGATCGATTTTATTTTTCCACTTATAACCGCTCACCTCTCAAAGAAATTGCATGTTTTAGATACATACATGCGATACTTTCAATTCAGATGATAATTGATCGGAAATGCGATCATTGGATCGCTGCAGATGTAGCCGAACCTACAATTTTCTCTTTATCAAAGGTCAGGAGAATATAATTATGAAGATATAAATGAATATATAATAAGATGAACACCGCATAACCATGCATGCGCGTCGTGCATTTATAATATTTTATATATCGCCATTGGAAGCGAGATGGCCACACTATTGATGTACCCGGAGAACCCAACAAACAAACAATAATATCTCATACACTCAGATGACTTTTTCTGCGTCATTGGACTAGCGTCTGACACAATAAGGTGAAGGCCAGCACTGTTTGGCGCTTGTGGTAATACCGGAAATAACTTATAACTAGATGGATGCCACTTTTCTGTGCCAGGCTGTGGGATGGCGCCACACTCTTTTTCCATCATTTGGTACGAGTGCTGCCTCAGTCATTGTCTGCTCTGAGAGGACCTGGCTGAGTCTGTCTCTTGAGGTGGCTCGTACGTTAACTTGTCTTTACCCCCGACCGTCCGTGATTGTACTTCGGGTTCGTCGGATATACATATTTAGTGTAGGACGGTGAGCTGAAGTCCTCGTCATGTCATCTGACACACGAGTCACCAGACGTGGTGGTGGTTTTCCAACTAGAACATTCAGTGTTGGCACTCTTGTAGAGAATATGTGACCCGTTGGAGGGTTGGGCTACTTGGCCGATTAATTTTGATTTCAGTACAGTCCAAGTGAACTGGCGGCCCAGCGGAGCAAACCGTACGCTCCTAGGTACTCCGAACCTACGGGGTGTCATCCCGTGCCGCCGCTAGTGGAAAATCCACCTCCAGGTGACAGCCGTCGAGCTGGTTTTCTGCCGGCCACCACCCGCGCACATGGATACAAGGCACGTGGTCAGTACCGCCGTCTGTAACATCACGAGATGACTTGACGTTGACCGCCGGTCCGACGGTGCTGATTTGTCCTATAATAACCCGACAAAATTCCAGCATGAGCTTGCGCATTGTGTGGGCTGGTAGTGCCTCCAGTGAGGTTTAGTGCCTCTAGTGCCTCTAGTAAGTAGTAAGAATGGGCACTATTTGAGGTGGGTGCCCATTCTGTCTGTTACCGAGGTCCCGACATGGTGACACTGCGTGAACCACCGGCCAGACCATTGCACCTACTCGGTCTCACTCCCACTCATGACACCCCACCGCCGTAGGCGGTCACGTGATGGCACACAGCCCAGTGGCGGCGCCAGGTACGCCGCAGCGGGGCGCTGGGTCAACGTGCAAGGGCGGCACCAGGCTAACTACCACGGCCCCAGTGATGTTTCCCGGGAACCCCATTCCGGATAGGATGGTATTTGATCTTATATGCAGTCATTGGATCGCAACAGGTGTTTGCCAAGGCTGCGCTTTCGCTGATATATGAGCGCCAAGGTTGAGCAATGAGCATAAATACGAAAAATGTAAGTGTATTCATAATAACAAATATCACAACACAGCTGTGGTTACGCTATGTACCAAATCTTTAACCCTTGCGAAGGGATACCGAAGGGAAGGGATACGAAGGGCTGCCCATGCAGGGATAGCCGAAAGGCCGCAGGGACTTGCCGTATCTGGAAGGGGGCGAGTACCGTGGTGCCATGGTATACCATGGTACCATGTACCATACCATGTGGCATGTACCATACCATGCGGCATGTACCGTGGTATACCACTCGTCGGGACCGCCGCGTTCCCGATCTGTCACGACCAGCTGTTGCCCTTGCGGTCCGAGCTCTGCCGTCGACCGGACCAAATTCACGTATATAAATGAACATATGCTGAGCCGCGGCGCCCTTTTGTCCGCACAGCAGCTATTTGTAGCAGCGTATCAGTTCCTGTCCTGACGAACGCCGCCACAAAGGGAGAAAGCCGCAAAGTTGCATAAAAACAACTTGACTTATGTGCATTGACGAATCTGTTTGGGATTGGTCTTGCTCCCAATGCACTTCAATGTATCTACAATATCCAAAACCTTGTTTCATGCAGCACTAGCTTCACCATTATCATCTAATATTTTATGTAATACAACATACAAAAACAGCTTACCTTCGTCAAATCCCGCTGGGTCGGCCAGATTGTGGGGACTGGCTCGGTTTCAGTCCGACTTGTCTAAGGCACGGACAGCGGAGTCGGAGCAGGGCCAGAGGACGACAGGCGGATAATACCAATATTTATTATTTTGCTCTTCTAGAGCAAGCTGATATATCTTAGAGTTTGTGTACATGTTCCTGCATTTTAAAAAAAAGTTATTGCAGTGAAACGCGGACGGCATATTGTATAAGTCATTCGACTGTGTCAGGGGCCTTATAACCAATGAGAAGCACGCACTGCTGTTTTACTGTTATCACGTCAACAGCATCTTCAGGTCAGGTCAGCAGCATCTTCATCAAAACAGTCTCATGGTGGAGCTCGCGTTTATTCAATGCGGCCAGCAACACAACTGAGACATTTCGAATCGATACAAAATGGAAATGTCCCAGTCCGCCTCGGGCTGCCCCTCAGGCTACCCCTCGGGCGCCGCCTGCCGCTTCTCTGCTGAGGATGCCGGTTGCGTCGCTTTTGCCGCCACAAACGAAACAAATAACACTTCAAGAAGACTATACTGTTGACGAAAACGTTCGACTTTGTGCCGCCTCGGCACGGTTGGCGTCATAGTTTTGCATACTTTCACACCGAAATGCCTGAACTGTCCAGGACTTGAGATACAGCGCTTACAGACGGCGATGGAGACGAATCATCGGACGTAGGAAGGGTTATCCCGTAGTGCGCTGCCTGGTCTGGAAGTCTCCTCTTAACCCGTCTTCCATGCCTCTCACTGTAAGCGGACATGAAGCCTTTACGGCACGCTTTGAAGAAGGGCCATCGGCAGGAGCTGCGGCGGGGTGCCCTGGTGCGGCATTGTCGCTTTCGAATCCGCTTCAACTAATGTCCACAAATGAGTTCGCTATAGACTCAAAAAGTAGCCAGTGAAGTTATGGCACGAGAGTGGACCAGTTGGGTTCACTTGGACCAACAGGGCTCATTAGTCCTCTTTACCTGCACATCAAGTACATCAAGTACATCAAAATGGCGCTGGGTAAACAAATGACACAAAATGACGCACGCGAGACATTAGTGTGTTCAGCGTGAGGTACCGATAAGCTAGCATGAACACAAGGCAAACAAAGCACACAAAGTGACGTACCTACGTGTAACATGAGGTGGTGTTCGGCCATTTATATTGGCCAGGACGAACTAACCTGTTCTGAACAGTGAGCGGACCGAATGACGTGACCGGGTTGCTGGGTCCGCGGCGCATCCACCGTTCTTCAGTAGCTGGTCAATGCCACCACTGTTTCTGGGAGGTCGGGCTGGGCTGCTTGGTCCGCGGCGCTTCCACCGTTCTTCAGTAGTTGGTCAATGCCACTTCTGTTTGTCGGAGGCCGAGATGTGATGCCCGGTTGCTTGGTCACATCGAAATGCTTAATTTACTGCACAAATTGGCCTGGCCCGGTTATTTGAACTTGATAATTTAATTAGAGGAATGTTTTAAACTACATTTAACGTACTTGCAAGCGTGAAAAGTATTAATTTCGTTCACATCTAGTCCGATGGCAAAAATGGCGGCCGTTGCCAACGTCGATGGCCGGCGCCGAGCCGGGTTCTAGTTACAACTAACGGCCTTGGGATGACTTCTGGTATGGATTTTGGAAACTAATTTGATAAATTGCGATATTGAATCGTCCTCAGAATGGGGTTCTTATTGTGAGGACAATATCGAAATATATCAATTTAGTTTTAATTATTTCAATTCTGCAACCATAGATAACATGATTCATGCTATCTATGCTGCAACATATAATATGAGCACCAGGTAATTCGACAGAGCGAATATCGAGGCCTCGGTGCCTTGAAGGCAGTGATGCTTGGGTCCAAGAACTAAGAAGGTCCTTATATATTTCAACATTGGTTACGTCGGCTGGAGTCAGCCTCACGATTTCATCGATTTTGCGCAGGCCATCTTTTTCCATGTATAGTGGGCTGGAACGCATTAGGTAGGTGACTGGGGGTGCCGAGACGTGGTGCGCGAGAAAGAATAGGCCGCTGTGCCGATCCAGGAGGCGGATCCGCTCGCAGAGCCGCGCGATCATATCGGCGACTGTTGTGGCAGCATTTGAAAGGTTGTCTTCATGCAACGGAGAACCCAGAAGCATGGAAGACATGATAGCGGAGTCTCTGAAATGTCAGGGAGAGCCCGCTTTACTTGCTGGATCAACATGTTTTGCTAATCTTGTTCTGCGTCGTCTAAAACTGTCACCTCACATTTGGCAGGATTTAAAATGAGGCCGACATCTTGGAGCATCTTGGTGACTGTTTGAAGGTCAGAGATTGTTGTGTCCGTGCGCCACCGAGCTCCAGCTTACACCTGCTAAAAGCCGTTTTGGATGACTGACCTTTCCTGAAAGTGCTAAGGCCTTATGATATATTCATAATTTCAAAATATGAAAACAATAAAAGGCAGATTAAATGTTGATCACAAATCCTCAAATGTCAACCTTTTAATTGAAACACACATCATTTTTACAAAATTACCATATTAAATTACATACTTGAAATGTGGTATAAGAAACATTACACATTGCTTACTTGAAGGCCAGCAGGTGCGCCCCCAGTTTGGTCTCTGGCTCCAGGGCCACAAAGTTGACCGTCATGTCCAAGAAGGCGACAAGTGTCCGGCTGCTCCAGAGGTCCATGGTGAGGCACACAGTGCTGTCTTTTGGCAGGAGCAGAAGAGTTATCATAAGCGCAGCTTTATTGCCCTCTGCTAGGGACAGTAGCTGTTGTCGCACGACAACAGGGGGGGGGGGGGCTCCAGGGCAGGGCCCGGCGCTCCGCCT